GTTTCATAACAGTACCTTTATTGGCAGGCTTGCCAAAGAGGCCTGGGATGGGTGACCTTTGCAAATGAATAACCAACAACTTTGACTTTAGAAATAGTCTTTCATAATGAAGCTGATCCTGGGAAAACACCCTCTGCCTACATTGAACTTTTTTTTTTCAGTAACTTTAATTCCAAAATTATGTTTAAATCTTTTAAAATGTGCTTAAATTTGTATGTTTATTCCTACATTGAATGCTAACATAATTAGGACTATGGGTCATCTTCTGCATTTAACTACTCATATTGACTATAAAGTCCTAAATAGCTTTAATATGCATGTCTTCACTGCAGACATGCATATTAAAAAAAGTGGTTTTTAAAATGTATCTTCAGTTTTCAAACAAAAGCTTGCTCAGCTCCTGCTGAAAAAGTTTGAAAGAATAAACCAGTTTGAATATTCAAAATCCACCACAGCAATAAGAATTAAAAAACAAGTAATAACAACCTATCAATTTGACAGGCTTTATTTTTAGTGAATTTCGAGTTGTCACAATCTCAAGGCTTTTTCTTCCAGAGCCTAGGGCTAAAAGGTAACAGCCTCGTATTTAACGAAAGGTAAGTTACACAAAAAATGCCAGCTGTCATGAGATAAAGGACAAATCATGAGTCAGCAAAATCATTCCAGAGCTTTATCAAGGAACTTATCTTTTCTTTCAGGTTGTTTTCTTTTGTGTGACATTTGTCTGACATTGCCTGAAATTATTTCCTTACACCTTGGGAGTCTGGCTGGGAGACCTGACAATATTACTGACAGTGGCTTAAACACATCTGCAAACTTTGTATAAAGAAAGCAATTGATTATTGTACAGTCTGGGAAAGGAGAAGAAAGGGAGTAAAGGGGGGAAAGGGAAGAAAGGAAATAAAAGAGGAAAGGAGGATAGGAAGATTTGTTACCTTATTTATGTATCTTCAACCCCATAGTATAGGCATCCGTGCAAAGATCCTCACTGAGGATTTGTTACAGCCTTTGTTAAAAATGAGAATACTTAGTAGCAGAGACAGTACCTGGGGAACAGTATCAACATGAAAAAAATATCCTGATATATATGAAATACATATATAATACTTGACATGAAATATATATCTACATATCCTACTGTCCCTATCTGATTTTTACATGGACCACAGATTAACTTCATTCCTGTTCTTACAAAACAATTTTAGCAGATCCTTAAAGAGCAATAAATAAACAGAGATTGTGAAACTAATTTTATATGTTGCTGAAAGAGAAGTCAATATTTAAAAAAACAAATAAAAAAAACAAAAATAAAAGCAAAAATCAAAACAAAAAGAAATGTATGTTGATAGAGCTGAAGGTTGCTTTGCTGGTTCTTCCCTTGGCTTCAGCACTCAGTCCAGTGTCCCAGTGTTTTAGTTTTAATTTTTCTTAATGATTTTCCTCCCATCTAAAAGCATTGCTAGGAAAGTTTTAGGCCTGATGAACAAAATCCTGCAATGTCAATGACCTCTTTGGTAGAATTTAGTGAGAAAGGAGGTGTCACTCAAAAGACACATAGTGGCTGCCTCTCTCTACTCCATGTGATGGCACACAAAGTACAGGAAATCACCCCTCCAGGGCTTGTGTCTTCTGGTGCTCTGCACAGCTCATGCATCCAACAGTGGTGGTCACAGCCAGGTGGAAAAGCTGAGCCAGAAGGCTCACAAAAGGAGCTGTCTGTAAGGACATTTCTAGACTGGCAATGAAGCCTCTGTGAACTCAGGAACCTCCAAGGCTTTGGTAAACTGGGGTTATGATGTACAGATGAAAAGAGAGCAGTGGGAAAGACTCAGAAAAGTCCCCGATCCTTTTGCTGCAAATCCAGTAGTGGCAACCACGGCTCACTTGGACACGGCTTCTTGCCCTTTGTCCTGGGGCGTCAGACCAGATCCCTGCTGTACTCTAAAGAAAGCCATTTCCTAGAAAAGTGGCTGCTCCTGAACCAGCAGCACTGTCCTGCTGTTCCTCTGCCTGCTCTGTGTTGCCTCAGAGTTCTTCTGGCTTTCAGCTCCGACAGATTACACACATATTTTTCCCTCTAAGGCTCTGTACAGTTGCTCACCCTAAGTCAGCATGACTCTGGGCCCAAGTCATTAAAGACCTATGCAAGCTATTCATTTTTTAAAAGAAAACCAGGTTAGAAAACCTCCAGGGTACTTGCACTTGGCAAGATAATTTTATAGTAGCTTTTCCCATTGTATTAACTTGTCAGTGTTTAAGCACTTCCCTTCCTTGTTCTCATTCCATTCAAAGTCTGGAGTTTCACTTTCATTTCTCTTGGGCACAAGTTTCAGTTCCTTTCGGCACTGCCCTCTCCTTTGCTGACACCTCCCTCAGCTACTGAATTACTTGTAAACCACTTGGAATATCTTTGTCATCTTTTTGCTTTTTCATAACATTCCTTATCCCTTTTTTTTCTTTCCTGACTTCACATCTTTCTCATCTGTTTTCCTCAAGTATCATAGTGTAAGCCATTAAGAAGGGAAAACTAAGAAGAGCTGAGTTAATTAGGTTCTTAAGCTTATTTGTGAAAGCAAGAATCAGCTTGGGAACTGTCACAAATAGGGATGGGCTTCAAGCGTTTTCTGGATGAAGGGAGTACTTTTAACCACTACCCTTCTGAACTTGTGATTTACCTTACATTTGTGAATTTTTGAATGGACCAGTGTACCTTCTATTTCTGCCCCCCTCCCTTACGCTCATTCCCACAAAAATAAATTAATTTTTCACTCTCCACGGTGTTATCTGTTTGGAACTATGTCACGTTTTATTTGAATCACAGATTGTTAAAGTAGTAAATGCTATTTCTAAAATTTGGATAATTGCAATTCTGATCTTGTGAATTCTATTCAGACTAAATATCTGTTTTAATTACTAAGCAGAAACCTCAAGCCTTATCTCTGTGCTTCCACAATTCCAGCCTGGCACATCCTGCAAGACAGTCACAGTAATTTTTCTTTGGGGAAAAAAAAATAACAATAATATGACAAGAATTGCTGTAATTCTAGAATTACTGCTTCACAATGGTGACATAAGAAAATATTCTACTGTGGCATTATGATAGCTGCTTTGACAAATGACTGCAGGGATCTGGAGTGATTCACAGGTCCAGCCCAGGTGTAATTGGCAAACAGAATCAAATAAGAGGATAAAACAAGTTTATGAGACTTTTCTTCACCTCCCTAGTCCTGGGGCCAGCAAAGAACTGTTGGCAGTCGGGGATGGAAGGGTAAGGTCCGACCCACTTCCCACTCCCTTCTCAACTCCTGAAGATTCAGTGGGGAGAGTGACAGTGCTCCTGTGATGCCAGTGAATGAGGAGAGCTGTGCTGAGTCAGGCTCAAGTCCATTTGTGTCACCAGAAGAGGACTGAGCAGCCACTAGGAACCTATAAACCCAACACAAGCTACCTTCAAATTAGTCATTTAATGTTTAAAAATAGAATACATATGTTTGCTGTACATACATAAAAATGCAAGACATTGTATAGTCTGTAACTACCACTCAAGACTTCGCTGTGGCAAATCTGAGTGATGCATAGAAGACTATTATAATCTGCATGACAGTTTCTTAGTTGTTTGGTAAAGCTCTTCATCATAGCACCATCGGCTTCTGCACACACAGATAAGGGGCAGTCAGCTTGGGCAGTTTATACTTTGTGGCTGTAAGCAGTTCAGGGATGCTGCTCTGCAGAACTGTAATTAAAATTAATTTCATTCTTCACTGTGCTCTGAAGCAAGCAATAGGCTTGGTTGTCCTTTTCAATGCACTTCCTTTATGTAGCTGTGGAGGAATCAAAGTGAGGAACATTACAACTTTCTGAGCACTGCTTAATCTTGTAATTGTAGGCTTTTCATCGTGGAACACAGTTGGGAACGAGTCGGGGAATGAGAGCACAGCAAGCCTGCTATTTCCTAACAGAATATCCCCAAGCCATTATACTATATTTTTTCTGCAATTTTTCCTTTATTTTCCTATTGTAAAAAAAAAAAAAAAAAAAAAAAAAAAAAAAA